TAGCTAATGAATACTGCAGTAAAACAGATGAGGGGAAGAACTGTCTGAAAGGAATATATGAGTAGGCATTATATGTATGAAAATAATCTGAAACAAGGGGTGCATTGCTGGGTGAGCTGGGGGAGGGGGTGGGGAGGAAGGGAAGAAAATGTGCAACCAAAAAAAGTGGGAAGAAAAAAAATTAGACATGAAATAAATTTATAAATTAAAAAACCTAGTTGGGAGAGGGAGAAGGGAAGAAAATGTGCAACAATGAATGAATGAAAATCCAACTTTTCTGTAAACTTTCATTAAAGTCACAAAAAAGTATAAAAATTAAAATAAGAAAACAGTACCATCAGAGAGAGAGAAATGACACATTAATTTTGACCAAAACCCCAATGAATTCAACACTACTCTGTACCTGGTACTGTTCTCCATACTTTAATGTGCTAGTGTCACTGTTGTAGTGGTCTAATGACACTACCAATGTAAAGGCACACGGTTCAAATCTATCAACTACTCCACGGAAGAAAAATAGACAGTTCCTCCCATGTGATTTCTATTGTTGTTCTAATGTGCTGTCAAGTTGCTTGTGACTCACAGTGATCCTGTATACAACAGCCCTAAACCCTGCTCTATCTTGTGCCAAGTTTATTGTCTCTGACTCACCTACCCCCATTGGCCCAGTCACTGAATCAATCCATCTCGTCAAGGGTCTTCTTCTCCTGCACTGTCCCTCCACCCTTCCAAGTATGATGTCCCTCTCCAAGGATAGGTCCCTCTTTATAATATGTCCAAAGTATGTCAGACAGAGGTTCAGAATCCTTGCCTTCAAGGAGCAGCCTGATTTCACCTTCTCCAGGATGAATCTGTTTGTTCTTGCAGTCCATGGTATAGTCAATACTCTTCTCCAGCACCACAGCTCAAAGGCATCAGTTCTCTTTCTATATCATCCCTAGTCATTGTCCAGCTCTCTGACGTATAGCAAGCAATTGCAAAGACTATGGCCTGGATCAGACGCATCTTAGTCTGCAGACTGATGTTGTTGCTCTTCAGTATTCTGGAGAGGTCCCTAACAGCCGACTTTCCCAATGTAATTTGTCTCTTTATTTCTCAGCTGCTGATACCAAGAGTGTTGATTGAGGAACCAAGCAAACTAAAACTGTTAACAATCTCAATCTCTACACCATCCATAATGATGTTGCCAGTTGGCCCAGGGGTGAGAATCTTTGTTTTCTTGATGTTGAGCTTCAATCCATATTGAAGGCTGATATCCTTGATCTTCTGCCCAAGTGCTTCAGGTCCTCCTCAGTTTCAGCAGTCAGGGTTGTGTCATCTGCATAACACAGATTGTTGATGAATCTTCCTTCATTCCTAATGCCACATTCCTCCTCATACAGCCAGCATTCCAGATGATCTGTTTAGCGTATAGATTGAAAAGGTATGGAGACAGAAATACATCCCTGGTGTACACCCTTCCTTTCCTAATACTTGTACCTGATATTTGT